TCTACCCAGATTTCTTCGTATCCAACCCTTAAAAATTGCCGAAGCTCTTACCATCCAGGAGCTTAAACTAGAACTATGCGTACAAAAGAAGTACGTCTTATCGTTATCGTTACCTTGGCCTTAATTATTATTATTATTATTATTATTATTATTATTATTATTATTATTACCGCATTCCCCCTTTACTTATGTCTTATATTCTCATTGTTTTATTCGTAAATGCTCATCATATCACCTTATTTATTTACGTTTTACACCCCTATGATCTTTAATTATTATAACAAAAATATTTTAATCATCTTATTATATTCACTAAATCTATTGTTATCATTCGTATTACGTAATCTAGTATTGTAATCTTTCTATTATGTCATCTTGGTTAATTTTGTTCACATTTCCTCACGGAATTAGTACTTTTTTCATATATATATATATACGATTGTACAGCTTGATAATAAATTCGTTGAAAAGAGATCCCTTCGCTGAACTTCGTGTTTTAAATGATGGTTTCTCGTTGTTTTTTGTTGTTTTTTTCAATTAATTCAGAATGAATTTTATTTTGCACTGATTAATCACTTCTGTTATAAGAATCTTGGTCACTAAAAATTACAAAAAAAATCTAAATTAATAGCCATTGTTAATTGACCTAACATGATCATTTTCATCAAACGATTGAATTCTGTATTCAGCTATTATTATTATTAATATTATTATTATTATTATTATTATTATTATTATTATTATTATTATTATTATTATTATTATTATTATTATTATGCTTTGGGATAACCCCTATAGCAGTATCGAATTACAATCGATTGTAAGATTCTTCTCCTATTTCACTAGATATATACAGATTAGTGAAATTGAATGATGACTATTATACTGCCATACTTCAACAATAAACACTTGTACAATGTATGAAAAGGGAAGTCAGGATCTCAAATGAGTCAAATTTTTCAGTAGGATAGCTTTATTTATATAATGACAAATATGATCATCTTTAAGCATATGGCCGGTAAGATTTGAGGATACTTACAGTTTACTAGTATTCGATCACAGGTGTCTTCGAAGCATTGGTCGTATATCCTGGGACCACCGAGTAAGTAATGCACTTGTTGAGAAATGGGTACTAAGTAAGGATTGCAAATCAATTGATGCAGTAGTGAAACTTCATCAGTTGAGATGGCTGGGACATATGTTACGTATGCCCAACCACCGACTGCCCCGACGTGCGATGTTCAATGGTATAAGAGTAGGTTGGAAGAAAGCTGGGAGTGGTCAGATCAAAACATGGCAAAAATCCATGAAGTCACTGACAGGTGGAGTGAGCCATGTTGGTAGGTGTAGACTACCTGGTTGGGGACCGCGAGACGATAGCAACCGATGGTTAGAGACCTTAAATAACATGGCTGAAAATGGTTTGCAATGGCGCAGGTGCATCCACTGTTTGTGTTCTGCCAAATTCTAATCTTCTGAATTCTTTATGTCCCTTTCTCTTTTTCTCTTTCCAAATTTATTTCACTGGATTATACTCCTTGAATAACATGTTCAAAGCCTAATGTTTCCGATTACTGCTTATACTTTTACTACGTCTACCATTATGGGATTTGAGTCGACAATTGTATCTCTGTGTTAATGTTGTATGGCAACTTGGACTGATGTATGTACGTACGAAGTTCTACGTTACTGACTGACTGAAACACATAAAATAAAAAGTAATAACCTGAAAAGTGAGTGTAACCAATCAGTTAATACCATGGGTCAGTCTGTTAGTATGAATTCGAATTACAGAATCAGGAATTTAGATTTGAGGTAATCAAAATTCAAATATCATGTATAACGAGCAGTAGAAACACATTTAAAATCACAATGTAGAAATATTTTTTGGAACCTTAGAATAAAAATGATAGCGTTAAACGTATCAGATGTCTAATTATTTCTCTTTAGATTGTATATAACAGGGAAATCAACATTATTACTAAACTATAAGCTTAAACTCTTCATTCTGAAGCATACCTAAACCTGGTGAGATTATATTTTATGTAGGAGCTAATCAAGTAGTGTACCTTGTAGATCTGAACGAAATCCATCTTTTCCATATGAGTACAGAACAGTTTTAAATTATAGCCGATGTCAGTTTATGATGAAAACCCTAAGAACACTGTGGGACTGAATTATTTTGATTAGTTCTGAGTTATGTCACCATAAACTTATTCAACCACTCATCTAAGTTGTAACGCTCGAATCTCGACCAAATGTGTAGTTTGTTACTTCCAACATGTGATTAGACATTATTTAAGCGTAGTACCTAGTTCTAACACCAAATCGAGACTCATGTGATCATTACATTGTTTTACAATAATTTCCCTTCCAGAAGTTGAAACGAGGAACGCACTGTTACTGAGATCACGAATTGATCTACTTTATACAACCATTGAATATCATGAAGGAATAGACAGTTAATCAGTCCCACTATAAAACCACTCAGCAATGCACATCCACTACTTTACAGCAGATGGTCGAACTCAGGACCTCCGGTCTCGGACGTGAACCCTTAACCTTTAGACCACTGAGTCAGAACTCGAATTTTTACACGTTTAGGTTCAATCACTTCGCAAACAAAGTAGTTAACATTTCTGAGAATCGTGTTTTCTGTGTTCTCTGTTTTCTTTCTAATAAAGATATATATCACCAGAAATAGAGAGAAAATTTCTACTTTTGTTATCTATTTCTTACAATCTCACAAACTCTTAAGGTCACCTCGTCTTCACTTGTAACTTCTACCTCATATATAAATGTATGTGTTTATGCGTGTGTGAAATATGTAGTAATATCTACGTGTAAATACCCATGTCCTAATAATATTGAGTTTATATGTTTATCTCTATAAATTTCTATGGGAATTATTAATTGGATATGTTTAGTTTAATTAATTCAATCATGTAGCATATGTAATAAGATATCATATTCTAGTGTGGGAGTAGAGTATGTGAGTTCTGCAATGACCAGAATTTTGTTATTGGTCACTATATATTTTTAAGCCATTGTATTGTTCAATTAAATCTGGTACACTTGACCTGACTAGCCAGTAACTTTCTTAGGTGGTATTCATCAAAGTTTGAACTCAGTTGACGGTAATATATGGTAAGGTGGTTGTTGGGCACAATTGTTGATAAGTTTCATACTAGGATGAAATTAACCATCGGACGATCTTTAACGTTTAATTGTTTCTCTACTACTATTAATTCATGTCGATAATCAATTACAAATTGGAATAATCTATACAAAACCCAGTTCAACTGCTACTTGTTTAATGCCTCTGATTACCTCGCAGTAAGATGGTATATAGGCTAGAAATAACGAAATATTGAATGAACCACTCTATCAAGTTCACATATACTCAGTAGGACTTAGGAATTATCCGGCAATTATCTTACTACTTAATTTCAAAAAGCAATATGTCTATTTCACATTTAAATTTAATTGCTAGCAGCTTTTTACTTCCTTTTGTCTAAATGATGTGTAACTCTTAGTTTAATACTTTCGAGGTACCATATATGCAAAGTTACACTTGAAATAACTTGATACTTAATCTGTTATAAGTAGTACGGGAGTCGGTAATAATTATTCTCATTTAACAACATAAATTAAGATATCTACACACGTACCTAGTGATAATGGGCGATGCTACCAATGTATAAATTATTACTATAACTAACAACTATGTATGTTAAAAGATTATGACGTCAGATGGAGACAGACCACACTACAAGGTCATATTGAATCAGTGTATGTAGTGGGCGTTAAAATCATGCAATTTGGTTGGCCACTTATCCAATAACCATCGTTGACATGACTAATATATTTCTCGTGGGCTTATTCAAATGACCTAGCAGTAATTGAAACAAGTTTTGTGTTTTTCGCCTACGTTGATATTTCATATACTCAATAATTGTTTATTTTCATTCAGCATGTTCTCATAATTATAGGTAATTATAACGAGACCAATTTATGGTTTATACCAATGACAGATTGTGATGGTATAAGAAGTGATAGTTAGGTGGATAGGTGGATGGATAATTAATGGTTGGAAAGAGGAATAGACGAAGGTTCTTAATAATATTGAATTTGAATTGATTCTAATGTCCAATACAAATCTACTACATTTCTATTTTGATTATAGTTTCGTAAAAATTAGGCGCACAAAGGATTTGTAGTCGGCATTGAGTATATTTGTAAAAAAATCTCATTGTTGGAGATTAGCTGGTTTCAATCTTTTACCTGACGCTGGTTCAGTCAGTGTACTTCATAACCTACTAGTTTTAAATTCAAACCACTTATAGGGAGATCAGGTGTTTCACAAATATAATGTATATCTAGTGTCTAGTTCTACTTTATTAATAATTTATTGAGTGCTCAATCTAGTTATTAATCAGTTTCGTGTTGTTATTCTTCAACTGCGAATAGCTTCTCAATATTGAGAGGTACACGATGAGTTCTATCGCCAAAATATGGCTTTGACATATTTTATCCATCTCTATCAAAATTAATGTGTCATGACCTTGAACTATTATAATTGAACAAGTAATATCAATAACCTAATCCCAACGCTTATTGAGCTACATAGAAATTCTCTATCCTTAAGCCTTCTAGTTTAAAAATTCACTTGATTATACATGTGAATTCAGGGACCACAATTCATCCTAAATAAGAAATTACAACCTATCCCTAATAATACAATATTTGAACAACAGGTTTATAATTGTGATGAAAGAATGAATTTTCTGGGATAGAAAAGTATAAGATAATTTCAAAGCTTAATATCTAATGTCTCTACTTACTGATCACGATAATCATGTGGATCCCCATTCAGTTAGTCTGCATCTATCAAAACAGCTCATACCAACAGTTCATGACGTCACAAAATGATCCTATATATATAATAAACTACTGTAATTTTATTGTGCTTTTATGTTTTGTTGTTATATTTTTTACAGACTACTGGAGAAAATATTAATTGTGTTCAATCAGCACTTTGTTCCGATGGAATAACTTTGGATTCAAATGAAAACTTAAGACAAAAACAACATCAACCACATAGTCGACATGAATCTCCAACTATACAAACACATACTGGCTATTTACCTTCTTCAATATCACCATCATCATCTACCTTGTGTTGTAAATCATCTCCTATCAAAGTCCAACAATCTCAAGTACCACTTTGTGTAACTGTTCAATCTCCTTATCGTAAAAAACAAGAATATTCTTCATTTACGTATGATGTATACAATGACACAACACACTGAAATAAAAGTGGTGAAACAAAAAAAGAAAGCTATTCTTCACTAATATTTCTTTTCACTCTGGTCACTCATACTATCACTACCGTCCTTCTCCCCGTTCTCATCCATCCTCCTTTAGTATGTAGTGGTACCCTATATGATTTTTGAATTTTTAATGTACAGTGAAAGCATTTCTGATTGAGTTTCTATTTCTTCGTTTATTGTTTTAATTCTGTGTTTTTAAACTATTCGTTGTTTTCTTTCTCTGGTTATTTGAGTTTGTATAGGCGTTCTAAATTCATTCGTCTTAACAATTTTACCTCATTATTTAATGGAACATTTTATAGCATTATTTGTACAAGGTACGTTTAATCTGATAACATAATGGTAAGGAAGAAAACAAGGCAGAAGCGAACGAGTGAAACCTTGTTAGCAACTTGGTTTATTTATCCGTTTTCATCATTCCTGTCAGTTTATTTATATAGATTATTGAAACAGTTATCATCATATGATATTTCGTCGATCTGTTTGATAAACAATCCTCTCAGTTTTTGCCGTAACTGTGTGTGCTTTAGCTCTTTCTATCCTGCCTATTTCAATAATATGATACTCGTCTATGTTGATGTCATCTTCATAGAACTAGTTTTATCATGGGATGCATATTTCTTTTTTTATCAGATTGAAATAAAAGTGAAACAATGAGAGAACAGACCTATCTATTATTTACTGTACATTTGTTTATTTAACAGCTTGAATAATCCATTTACAGGTTGTACATTTGTTCTTTGTGTTGTATACCTTCACATAATTTCAAACTTTGTTTTATATGTACTCAAAATTAACCGGCATGTACTACTAAATATAGATGTATATGCATATATGTAATTTTAAACAACCAATGGGCTTTCAGATTTTTCTCAACACAATACAGCTGGTATAAGACAAATGTGATTGGTCGAAAGTTAGTAATTCTGTTAATTTGTGATCAGTTATATATAATATTTCTTATTTTGTATTGGTTATTTATTCTTCTCTAATGTGCATTCCAGTATAGTTTTGGTATTGCACTCATTCTCTTTATCTATCCATCTATTGCTGCTTTATTGCATTTGTGTTTTACACACAAAGTAAAATGTTATATGTACATGTATTTTGCATATTCATTTTCAATCACTTTTTATTCTGTACAGTTTTTCTCAATTATCTAATAATATTATTGATTGATTTTGTTGCTACAGTAACAGTACACCAGACTTCACCGTACTATACTATACTATACTACACTAATCTTACCTAATTTAATGTCCATTACTTTTGTCTATGCTTCTTTGTTTGTGCGTGCTCGTATCTCTTCTTAATTTCAGTAGATTCTTTTCAGTTTTGTGTATCTGTTTGCTTGTGTGTATGTGCGCACGTGTGTTTTTTGTTTGTTTGTTTGTGGTACGACAGGACAAATGAATTAAGTTTCCTTAAAATTTACACTTTAGCACATAAATCTTTTTCTACCAAAACGATTAGAAAAAAAGTATGTGAACATTATAATATTTTATTTGATATTGTTCATTATTTTCTCTATTCAATCTGTGAATTTGTTGACTGTTCTTTGTTTGTTGGTGTCTGTCTACTTTTATTGTGTGCTTTTGTTCAATTGTTGTCTGTTGTTTTGTTTTCTCTACAGTAAATCGACAGTTGTTTCCTTCCTTAAGAGTTATCTTGTTTTGTAACTGTTATTACAATATTTTTATTGTTTTTTATTGTTATTCTTGTAAATATGTTATAAATTATTTTGCATATAGAAAAAAAATAAATTATTTGCATACAAATGACATATATACATACATTGCTGAAACAAGTATTGCATTGGTTGATGACGTCATGTCCTATTCAAGTTGATCTTTGTTACTGAGTCACTTACTGTTTTTTTTTGTATATATGTTGGAATAAATTCCTGATTAGGAGTAGGGGGGGGGTGGAAAGCCATTATTTTGTGAAGTTAAACTGAATACCATAAGAAGAGATGTAAAACTCTTGATTGTGTTTCATAGGTTTTATCACAATATATATATATATATATATATATATATATATATATATATATATATATATAATTGAAGATGTTAAGTTGCAATTTCCCAAAACCTTCAGCTTTATTTTATTCTTTAATTCTGATCATTGTTTTATAAATAATATTGATGTGGGTAAACAAGCCGAATTCTGGTTGGCTAGCTAAAGGTTAATTGCTGTCATCAGATCACTTTCATCCTATCGGACAATTGAATCATCACACACTCACATTAATGAATTGTATAAAAATGAATAATGTTATTTTCGTACTACAAACCTCCTATGATTTCAAACTTCACTATGGCCACTTAATTAGATCACTAGTTCATTTTGTCCACTAATGATGAGTACTTTTACATCAACAATGCCGACAACTTTTGCTTTGTCGGTTGTACTAACACTGATTGTCTCATGTCACTTCTTTCTCTCTCTGATATTCTCAGTCAGAACATGAGAAGAGTCAGTCAATTTATTCTGTTTATTTTATGACTTGATATTCACGTGGTCACAAGCGTCAACTTCACGATCACAACTCCAAATAGGAAATCACAATCTGTACACATACTGAGTAACAAGTACATAATTATGAACGGTGGAAGACGTATCATCAGTCAACTACATATAACTAGGGCAATATAAAAATATAGTAAAACAATTATTTAGCAAATTAGGACTAAATGTAGTATAAGATAGTTCTAAAAATTCTTCCCTTTCCATTTACCCACATGTATTAACTTTTCTTTACCCTTCCACCTTCCTCGCCAGTTGGTAATCACGTTATATATATAGTATATTATGTTAACCAGACAACATATTATATATGTCATTCGTAGTCGTTCAGTTTAATCAAGTTCTGTTAAGCTGTAATAAGAACCACCATATAGTGATTGATAAAACCATTATTTTTATTGGCGTTACCGGTTGGCCTCTCAAATTAAGGAATAACTTTTTTTAGTTCGAACGATTCTATTGCGGACACGATAAAGCCTTTTGAGATGCAACACGTTTCAATAATCACCCGCTAACACGAGTAGATCACTTGAAATGGTATGATTCAATATATATAGTAACGAAAGCTTGATTTTCAAGTGCACGGGAGAGTAGCAAATTAAAATTGATGGCAACTAGCTAGTAAAGGGGAAGGATCATGAGAAAAACTAAAATGATGAAAATGCATTCATGGCCATCATTCCTTGTAGGACTGTAGTATTATTAAACAAAACTGAGTAATTTGATTATGCGATGATCAATATTGTATCAGAGGTTTTTCATGTGTAGTGCCTTTTTTGCTTTTACTGCTACTATTATTGTTTTGCGTTTCTTGGTTAGTTTCGTCTTGATACGCTTCTATCACTATGATTTAGTAAAAATTAACTAATTGAACTGAGTGACATTAGTTCCAGATGGGTAATATGTTGTTTATCAATGACAATAGTTGTTTAGATTGAATGACTCCATTGTAGATTAGAAATGGCAAAAAAGTATCAAATTGTGACGTGCTGACATTTTTAGGATTGAATTATGTCACTATATATATATATATATATATATTTGTGTGTCTGTCTGTTGGTATCTACATTAACTGACTGTTTAAACAAATGTCATGAATATTACCTTGGACCCCACTTTTTTATTTTATGATAATGGTCTGAGAAAGGGAATCTAATATGTGTGTATTTTTGTACCTGTTTATTGTTTACATTAAAATGTCACAAAGCACGTTGAGGTTTGAATCCAATACTCTTAGCTTTTTTCTAAAGTTAGAATGAAACATAAATCCTGAAGTTTCTCATACTAGTGGTTACTCTGACTAATACCGATAGCGATTCTAATATGACTGGGACCAGTAAAGTGATTCTGCTAGGCACGTGAACTGACTAAATAATGAAAAATAAACTGTTTGAATGGCCTAAAATATATTTGACAAAATTACAGATTAACTTATTATGAAATCTGTAAGTTTTTTATAGGCAAAACAATTAGTTACTTTTATAAAACTCGTAAATAACACTCTCTACTAGATTCGTTGTGATCCATTGAATTACGTTACGAAATAGATATAGATCATTAGTTGACTCCTAATGGTACTTTATCTTATGTTTAATTCAGGAACAAAACTTGGGTGGAATTTATAAAATATCTTCTACCTGTTTAATAATAATAATAATAAACTTTAAAATAATTCATTCTGATTTCACTGAAGAATTGTAGTATTTTCTTCGTCCACCTGACTGCAGTGTGGAAGTAGTAACATGTTAAATGGTTGGAGATGGTTAATAGGAAACCGTGGATTTAGTTTGCTACTAGTCGGAACCCGTCAATTTGGTGCACCTACAGTTTTCAGTAGACTAATACTTCCTATAGGATTCGAACATTCGTCATCCAGCTTAATAGTCTGAGATGTTACTACTGAGCTAATCTGGGGGAGATTGATCTCCTCCAGGATTGAGATGGTTAATGATCACTGAGTAGCATCAAAACATATAGCATGCTATATACAGTAACTTATATATATATATATATATATATATATATATATATATATATATATATATATATATATATATATATATATATATCATTTGAAAACAGGTAGAAATAAGGTAAAAAAAAAAAGTTGATTTAGGTTTTTAGACTTCTAATCCCTAATAGGGCATAGGCCGCCGACCAGTGATCTCCGATCAACTCTGTCATGGGCTCTACTTTACAGCTGTTACTGAATGCTATTAATTCTTTTGATGTATGCCTCTAGGTTGCATTATTTATTCGCCACAAATGTATATATTTATTGTATAAGACAAATTTTTCCATGTAATATTTGTACACTATGGAATTGTAATAATTGTAAATAAGTGAAATCCAGTAAAGTTTACTTTGATTGGCAAATTAACAGTGATCAATCTCATGTATATCTAGTACTTTAGTACTAATTGAACTTTATCAAGATTGTAGCATTTTCATGGTTAAATTACGAACTGATCTTAGCTAGACCTTCGTTGAAAACCTAAGACATTTTGAATAGCTGTTTCATCTTAATGTTGGCTTCTTATTAGTGAGTGTACATGACTCCAACATTAAGAATTGAACCAAAGATCCTTGAATTTCACGCTCAAACATTTGATTTCTAGGCGATTGGGTCGATAAATGTGACTAGAAGCGAAAAGTGTAAAGTTTTAAAATCGGTTACATTGAATATAATTGAATTCTTTCTTTGGATAACTTACTACTTCGATTTTGAAAAACACTTATGCGTTAATCGTCTTTCAACTGAAACTAATCACTGGCATTAATATTTTTTCTGGATTATACACTTCTACTTTAATACGTCACATGGTATTCTGTATATATTGTCCGTACACTTTTGTATGTCTGTTTATCTATTTATTACCGTCTGTTTATGTAGCCTATAACTTGACTGATGTACGTCAACCATTTTTACTGTATTAACAATTTCACAGATATGTACAAACATAAAGATTCTAATTTTAAATAGGAAAGAAATCAATATGTGACGTAAGTTTATCTATCATTTCATTTTATTGATAGTTATAGTGATTGTTTCATTTTTGTATTCATGACATCATCGTTGTATTTCTTTTATGTATATCGCTAATGACAGTAAAATATCTTGGTTAGTAAATGATAACCAATTAGTTACTGTTTATTTGGTTAGTTGACCCAAGAAACTAATATAATAAATCTATTACTTATAATACTATTTATGTTTGTTTCATAACCAGATCCCAGCGGAGGAAGAAATTATGAAGAAGCGCTGGAAGTGGATAGGACACACATTGAGGAAAGCACCTAACTGCGTCACAAGACAAGCCCTCACATGGAATCCTTAAGGCCAAAGGAAAAGAGGAAAAACAAAGAACACATTACGACGGGAAATGGAGATAGATATGAGAAAAATGAACAAGAATTGGATGGAATTAGAAAGGAAGGCCCAGGACAGAGTGGGTTGGAGAATGCTAGTCGGTGGCCTATGCTCCATTAGGAGTAATAGGCGCAAGTAAGTAAGTAAGTAATGTTTGTTTCATCAATACCAGCATTACGTCCAATACCAGCTTCCACTATGGGAATCATATATTTCAAACATACTGTGTTTATATATATATATAAAAAAACAGACCGCAACGCACTATAAAATAGGAAATAACATTTGTACACAATAAAGCCAAAAAAAGTGGCTGTGAATGTGGTAGGCAGTAGTCAATAAACTGAACATTGCTTAACAACCGTAAATCGTACAATAATAAACTATAGGTCAAAATAAAGCTTATAACAAGGGGAATATAGATAGACATAATCTAGTTACCGAATATTTATGCCATGAGAATATATAACTAATAATAGTCCATTAATAAGTCACAGACGTTACTCGTAATGTAATCTTCACTAGGATATAACACTGTACTCATGCAAATGTATAAATGCTCTACAATTCCTTATTTAGTAAAAATACCTTGTGATGAACAAGTTGTTAAAGCTGACCTTTTCATTAACTTGCTTGCTTAAACATGTTTTTAATTAAAAAGTTGTTCAGATTCTTATTTTATGGCAGAAACTTGTTGAAATACTTTTTGATGAAAATTCCATAATGTACTAAACATGAAACATTGAACAAAGCCATCCATAATAATAACAACTGTTATGGTGTCTCACATTAGGAAGATATGGTTGTTGATTGCTTTCTCTTCTATACTACCCAGTCTGTGAATAAATCACCGGAAAGTAGGCTGTTTCGTAATAACGTTCAATTTTCTAGCTTAGTGATTAAATCATTACAGACGGGGTCTGACTGTGAATATGATGATCTAAAAGGCTATGACGATTTATGAAT